CTGTGTAAGAAGACAAGACAACAGATACTAAGCAAGGAACCCGTTTTATTGTTTTGTGACTTCTTGGCTCATTTCTCATAATCTTCTGACCATTTGAGTAAACAGAGTCTCAACTGATCTCTCGATTTATGGTGGAAGAATGTAGATTCACCCAACATTTGCATGATACAATGGAATAATAACATGCACATTGTGGAATTTTATATACAGAGCCTCGAGAAGCCCAATTAGCCATTTTAAACTTTAAAGTTCAGGTAATCTTATTCTGTTACACATTCAGTTAGTCTGTTTCTCAACAGTCCCTTCCCCACATTCTCATTTAATCTCATTTTATATTTATTTCATATATACTGCATTGTGTGTTTTCTACAGCACTTAAGGAGAATTTCTATTAAAAGAAAGGGATTTATTTATTTATTACATTTATATACAGTAACTACCCACTCAGGTCAAGCTCTGGGTAGATTAAATGGAAATCTCTTCTTTCCAAACACAGGTCTTTAAAAAACTTGTATTAAGGATTGTATAACTTTTATTACAACGTTTAATCTTTATTTAAAAGACTAACTTTTGGAGACAAAAACACCTAAACATCTGAAAGATGGGATAAAAAGCTTCAAATACATAATCAGATGGTGCTAATATGTTTAATGCTATACAGTTTACTATTTATCTGTTTGCAGTGGTTGGCTTCACTTTTCATAGTTCATTTTAATCATAATTTGGTAGTCAAATCACCGTATTATGATAGTGGCCTGCTTCATATATAATATTAAGCCATAAATCAAGATTTGCAATTGTATTGCCTAAATTCATATATCACACTAAGATAAAACCAAATAAATTACATTAATATTAGAAGCCGGCTGTCTTCAGAACCACTCTGGTGGCGTACAGTTTAAAAAACAGAAAAACTGAAAAAGAAAGAAATTTCTGGGGACTTTGGGGAAAGAAATGGTGAACCGAGGAAGGCTTGGATTTTAATGACGTTGATGACTGAAGCAGAATGAAGAGCTGGACAAGGAGAGGAACTGAGATAGTCCACAAGGGCTCCAGACCAGGGGTCTCCAACCTTGGCAACTTTTAAGACTGTGGACTTCAACTCCCAGAATTCTTCAGCCAGCTTCTGGGAGTTGAAGTCCACAAGTCTAGAAGCTGCCAAGATTGGAGACCTCTGCTCCAGACAGTTGTTCCTTATGAAGAGACCACAAAATAGCAGTCTGCAGCAAGTTTAGAAGTTTAGAGCTCTGGAAGACAATCTTTCTGCTCAAGCGTAGTTGGCATCTTCAAAAGGACACAATTGTTTTGCAACTGCTTTCAGAAATTGTTTGTTAACTGCTTTTCAGCTATTAAGGAACCTTTGAACATGGGAGATAAATTTTGCAGGACCAGGTTAGTTTCCTTCAATCCTTAGTGAAAGAAGTTTTAAATACAAGTTTTAATGACTTATAAAATTATTTTGAAAAAGGGATGTTTAGAACTTTTGGAAAGTTACAAATGGACTAATCCTTTCCATGAAAAAATGCTTTTCTTTCTATTACTATTAAATGAATAACAGAGTTGGAATTACAATTCAGGAACAGAATTAAAACAGAATTACAATTAAAACAATTACAAATAAAATAATTACCGTTTTCCCCAAAATAAGACATCCCCTGATAATAAGCCCAATCGGGCTTTTGAGCACATGGCAATAAGGCCAAGCGCTTATTTCAGGGTTCAAAAAAATATAAAACAAGGTCTTATTTTTGGGAAAACACGGTACAATTTGAGAACACTTAAACTGAACTTACTAACACAGAATGGAGCATACTATTTTAACATTGGACATATTGAAGGATATTTTTGAACAATGGACACAGAAGTTAATTTTAATAGTGTCTGATTCTATAGACAGACTGTCTAAAAGGTGTTATGAAAGAGGAACAGGTTTTACTGGATAAAAGTAAGAGAGTGAGATTGATCTGAAAGTGGATTTAAAAATGACAAGCTACAATGATATAGAAAAACATATCACACTGGACACATAAATGAAATTGGCTGATGTCCAATAATCAAAAGGAATATAGAAAATAATAAACCAAAAGAGTGACTTGAATAACTTTTTATATTGGATTTACAAAAGAGACTTGTCAAAGCTTTAAAGAATTTAGTGAGAAGAGACAAGAACAAAATGAAAAGAACTCAAATTCTAGGATATGATTTGTTTACAGATAAGGGGACATGGGAAGAAGAGATCTTTTATATATATATATATATATATATATTTTAAGAGAAGGTAGCAAGTTTCTAAAATTGTTTGGACATGTAATGAAGGAGAAAGTGATCTCTATGTACTTCTTTGTTTTTCTTTATTATATTCTTATTTTTTCGCTTCTTTTCTATTTTTGTTTCTATTTTTTTCTTTTCTGCATTTTCTATTTTTTCTTTTTAGTTTGCATTACTTTATTTTTTTAATTATAATTTTAAGTTTTAAAAAAAGGAGAAACCTGAAGCATTAAAAAAAAAAAATTCCCATATACAAAAAAGCCACCACTGCTGAAAGAGTTTCACAAGCATGCTTCTCAGAAGCTTCAACCACTTTTTGGGTGAAGACATTTCAGATCCAGAAAAAGCTTCCATCTGGCAAATCCATCTCTACCTACTGAACAATATCCCAATACCTAGTTTTGGAAACATCAAAACATGGATTGAAAAAGGAAATATAACATGAACAGAAACCAGGATATCACCTTTCTGCCACAAAGCATCTGGGATAATATGAAAGGTAACCATCACACATTTTTATCTTTCATTCTTTAAATCCTGTTTTTTATTATGTTACTACTAAAATGTAAAATACAATGGCTACTGTACACAAGCAAAATACCATCAGTTGGTTACCCCAGGGCAGGAGTGAAATCTACTTACCTTCCTTACCGGTTTGGAAGTGCATGTGCTCCGCGCATGTCACCTGCGCGCACAGACCTTCTGCGCAAAACCTGTGCATGCGTAAAAGGTAAAAAACACATTACTTCCTGGTTAAAACCAGGAAGTAATGACACCCGGGGAGGTGGGCGGAGCTTTACTCCACCATCACTAGTGGATCACCGAAACAACGGCCAAGATCGCTACCGGACGGGTGATCTGGGAGCATTTCACTCCTGCCCCAGGGTAAAGCTGTTTAAGGTAAAGGTAAAAGTTCCCCTCGCACATACGTGCTAGTCATTCCAGACTCTAGGGGGCAGTGTTTCTAAGCCGAAGAGCCAGCACTGTCCGAAAATGTCTCCATGGTCATGTGGCCAGCATGACTAAATGCCAAAGGCACATGGAGCACTGTTACCTTCCCACCAAAGGTGGTCCCTGTTTTTCTACTTGCAGTTTTACATGCTTTCGAACTGCTAGGTTGGCAGAAGCTGGGGCAAGTAACGGGAGCTCACTCCGTTATGCGGCACTACGGAGTTGAACTACCGAACTGCCGACCTTTCGATCAACAAGCTCAGCATCTTAGCCACTGAGCTACCGCGTCCCCTGTTTAGAAAAAGCTGTTTAAAAGCTGTTTAGAAAAGGAATGACTGTAACTGAGGACTCTGTATTTTTCTTTATTTGTCTGTTAGCTGTTTACAGAGCTCAAGAGCTATGAATATGATCAAGTACTTTGATCTTATGTAAGAATATCAGTATGAACAAAGAGTGTTATTGCTTTGCTTGACAATACTGATACACATGGACTCATCACTTTACATAAATTGGTCTTGGATTTCACATTATATTGTTCAAATATATTTTTAGTATCTCTGCTGTTCAGCATAACTATCTCCTTATTCTATAAACATTTATGTTCAGTAATGTTTCAGTAATGAATTTCTGTATTTAGAACAGTTACAGTGCAAATGCAGAGATCCCACCATTGTGAAAGCCGCAGGAGGAGTATTTCTTAATATCAAAAGCATGGAAACTTGCAGCTTTTTTAGTAGTGGCCAATTCTAAGTGAAAAGCATCAGCAGAGGCAAGGCCATTATGTCAACCACAGAGGCTGGAGCAGGAAAAGACTTCAAAACTGAAGGCATTTAAATCATTTTTCACAAAGCATCCTTCAAATATCCCAAAGGTGCTTTTTCAAGAGGCAACTGGACTTTCTGGGTTTCCTTTGAAGATGTTTTGCTTCTCATCCAAGAAGCTTCTTCAGTTGCCTCTTGAAAAAGCACCTTTGGGACAACCATGACCTGGATGACTGAGAATCTCCATAGACATCCTTCAAATATATAGTAAAACACTGACAGGTTGGTTAATTTTAGAGGTATTGTTCGCCTATGTCTATTTTCTCTTCCAAATATTCAACAGAGTCTAGGTAATTATCTGCATTCTATCATTGTGCCAGTGAAGCACAAAGTACAGAGCATACCAACAAGAAGCTGTCTCCCCCTGTCCCCCCATCAGTTTAGATAATCAACACACATTCTCATTACCATTTTCAGTTCTGTATACCTGTACTGCACTCCGAATCCATATGAAATATTTACATTCATTTCCATCAATAATTTCCCTACAGGTTTCCTTATCTCCTATAAGACAGCCTGTCTGCCATGATTCTATAAACAACACATATTCCCGAGTTTATCTAGCTTTTATACCTGCATACAGTATATCCATTTTCTGAGCAACTTCATTCCTATGCTTAATGCTTGCTTTTTTTCCCAGACATATTAACAATTTCTATCCGGCAATCTAGCGCTTGGATTCAGGATTCATTCAGGACTCCTTTGTTTCTTGTGGCACAAGATTCAAACCAGGCTTTGATACCCAGTTCATGTCATTCCCCACCTATCTATATATCATGATTCATACATGGTAAGGATGCCAGTACCACAACTATGAAGTTCAAGGCATTTATGTAGCATTTCACAGCATGATTGCCCAGAATTCCCAGTGAGCTCAAATGGATTGATTTCTGTACAGTATAACCACATATGGAAATATAAACAAAGCATTTAAGTGCCAAGATCTATATATCAACTCACCCTTCTAATCTTACATCAGGCAAACTTCGGTTGAATGCAATCATGTCACTAGCCATAAGATTAAATTGGTTGATTTTAAAAAGCTCTTTCATTTTTTCCTGATCATCCTTGGGAATGAGAACTGCTTTTCCCATCTCTCCTGGTCCTTCTTGGCTTCTTGACATAACAGCTGCAAAAGAAGATATAAAAAAATAAATACGTGTTTTTAATCATTCTTCATGGTTCTCATCACTTCTATTACATTTTTTTTGGAATCTGGAATCCATAAGCTACGGGGCATTTTTTTAAATTTTGCTTGTGGATTCTGACTTTCAAACTTACATTTCATGAAAAGTTGGAATTAGTAGTTGATCTGAAAATCAGAATTTGAGAAATACCCAGCTTTGGGGAAATCATGCCAAACAATTTATAATAGTTCATTCTCACTGTACATTCCATGATCTCAATATTATCCTTGCCATCATCATGCAAACACATATTAGAGTCATAAGTAAGATTAAAGGTGACACTTCTATCCTTCACACAAGCCTACCAGTTCTTGTCTAACCTTTGTCTGAAAGAGAATGCTTGCAGACAGCGTTCTTCAGGAATCCTGTCTGCTCTAAACATACTAATCAAACAGGGGAGATCAAAGTACATAATGTAAGACCAGCAGAGGGAATCACACCTCCACATAGCTGAAATGGAATGCACTAAAAGAAATGGATAAAACCTTATTTTAGTAATGATTGGCACATGCTTATTGGCACAATTTAGTTCTTCATACTGTATTCCTGATGATAACAGTCAAATATTTTGGAGATTTTGGAGAGTCAAGTCTCAAGAGTTCTTTGTTGTTTGCTGATTTTGTTTTATTAAAGCAGCCAAGGAGAATATGCTGGTAGAGAGATCTTAAATTATCAGTCGCTCGACCTCAATGCCTACAAAAATAATCAGTGATCATTTGAGATCATTAGAAAATTAACTATATCTAGGTAACAGCAAATCAGGAGAAGCTGTTCTGAATGAATCTGTTATCTGAGCTTAACTATCACCATTATACCATTGCTAACGCATTGTTGAAATTCTCTATTTTGGACTCCATTTTTAACTGGTTCATATTTTCCACTACTCAAGCTGGTAGGGCAACCAAAGTGTATTCTGTATTTCACTATACTGACTATCTCACAATTCTATCCAGCTTCCATTTTTTTAGAGAGAGAAGAATGAAACTTCCTTTCCAAATTATTTTAAGGCTGAGGACTATCCGTATGACTGTGATATACAATTTATAAAAAGAGGTGGGGGAGGAAGTAGACCTTTAAAGGATAAAATGACCAGAGAGAATTAGAAACCAACAGATCAGTAAAATGGATTGTGCTGTCAAGCCTTTAGCAACTTCTTACAGCCCAAAAGGTTAGATTCTCCCAGAGACGTATAAGCCAGTTTAATTGAAAGGAAAAACAGGACTCGGTTACAGAATCTTAGAAACCATTTACGCATACTTTTGCAACCCATTTATCAGTTAAGTTTATGTGGGCTGGGAGTCCTCAATCCTCTTCCAGACTGCAGCAATGGAGAAGATGCTGATGATTTCCCTGATGTCCTGATCCTTAATATTTTGCAAACTGCCGTCCCCTTTCCTGGATCTTAAGAAGTCCATTACATATACATCGCGGGTACAGAATCAATTACTTTGAGAGAAAGAGATGGAATATGATGTGGGCTTGCTGGAACTTCAAACAGAAACCCCCCACATTGCAATACTCTGATCCAGCTCCTATTTGACAAATGAATATGTTCAATAACAGAGATGTAGACAAAGCATAGTACGTTACTGCTGCAATAGCCCTGATAAGCTATTCTGGAACAACTGTGGAATTAAATCGGCACATTTTTTAACTCTACCCAACACAGTAGAAAAAGAGAGAGAGAGAGAGAGAGAGAGAGAGAGAGAGAGAGAGAGAGAGAGGAGGGAGAGGGAGAGGGAGAGGGAGAGGGAGAGGGAGAGGGAGAGGGAGGGAGGGAGGGAGAGGGAGGGAGGGAGGGAGGGAGGGAACACGCATGCATGTCTGTCTTTGTTGACTCCTGGCAACTGCCTAGACTGGAACCTGCAGTATTCTTAACAAGGTTTTTCAGAAATGATTTGCTACTGTCTGCTTCCTGGGGCTAAGAGAAAGTGACTGGCCCCAGGTCACACAGTCAGCTTCATGTCTATGGCAGGACTAGAACTCACAGATCCCTGGTAGCTCAGTATCTTAATTACCACACCAATATGAAATCCCCTTAAAAGATTTAACACAGCAGCTACAAAGCTAATGAGATTTTACTTCCAGACCTTACCAAACAACTGTCCAATTCTTCATCTATTGATAGCAAATTTCTCAGAATTTGGATGAAACAAAGTGCTTCCGGCTAAAAATAACAATCAAGGGAAATCTTTGATTGCTGTGGAGAAGAAAAGCTTCAGCCATTCTGTTTTCTTCAGAAAGGAAAACCTCTGTCTAGACAAGTTACGCTGATTTAACTGGACGAGCTTTGATTTCAGTAAGTCCGCAGGAAGTTCAAAGCAATGCTAGATGTTATCAACATTTACTTTTCTACCTTGATTGCATGAATACTCTCATGGGTGTCCTTATAGGAAGAAATTCATTCATAATGGAAATCATGGTGTGTACATGCAAGTATCCCAAGAGGAATTAATTATACCTAATTCCCAAGAGGAATTAAGGAGGATATTTCTGTTTCCCTATCATCCTGTTGTCCTTTCAGATCTTCTGTGATAGAATCAAGCTCTTACTCAAAAATTAAAATTAAACTATCAGTAACGGTAGGATTTTGTTTTCCTTTATCAGCCAACACCCCAATTTACATCTCCATATATTTAGTTGACCGATCATGTCAGGTACACATACATTGACTGTCCAAATTATCAAGGAATGTAAGAAAACTCTAAAGAGATTGCAATCACAATTGATACTGCAGTTCCTTTTTTGTTCAAACCATTTTTTTGTGTACCTGCCACAGATTAACCATTTGAACTCTGCGCCTCCCTTCAGATATTTCTACAACTCCAGAGCGGAATTGTATATATGATCCATACAGAAAAGTTACAGCACTGTACCAGAAAATCAGAATTTGTTTTACTGTTGCTGTATTCCCCTTTTAGAAAGAAAAGAAAACCTTAACAGAACAGCAAAAAAATAATTATATTATTATATTATAAAATATAGTACAGTACAGTACAGTACAGTACAGTACAGTACAATACAATACAATACAATACAATACAATACAATACAATACAATACAATACATAGTATGTCACAGACGTGACTACACCTCCTCACATTTCGTAAATATTTAAGTATATTTTTTCATGTGACAACACTGAAGAAATGACACTTGGCTACAATGTAAAGTAGTGAGTATACAGCTTATATAACAGTGTAAATGTGCTGTCCCCTCAAAATAACACAGCACACAGCCACCGTGCTGCAGCTCAGTTTCAGGGTCTTGGCAATCTTCTTATAGCCTAGGCCAGTGATGGCGAACCTATGGCATGTGTGTACTACACTGTACTACATGCAAGAGCCTGTAGTACAGTGGACTGAAGCACTGTTATTAACATCTGCTGCTTGCAATTACTGCAAGTTCAAATCTCACCAGACTCAAGGTTGACTCAGCCTTCCATCCTTTCAAAGGTAGGTGAAATGAGGATCCAGATTGTGGGGGGCAATAAGTTGACTTTGTATAAATATACAAAAGTATGAAGGCTATTGCTTAACACATTGTAAGCCACCCTGAGTCTCCGGAGAAGGGTGGCATATAAATTAAAGCAAAAAAAAATAATAATAATAATAGATGGTACACAGAGCCCTCTCTGCAGGCAAGCCAGCCATTGCCCCAGTCCAGCTCCACTGCGCATGTGCGGCGCCTCCCACCAGCCACTGGTCTTCAGGACTCTGCTGTGCATGTGCCAAGGGTGGATGCAGGCGCAGGGGGGGAAGGTTGGTGCAGAAGGCTCATGCAGCCCCCCTGCGCCCTGTTTTGGACCTGGAAAGCCTCCTGCACCAACCTGGAAGCCAAAACAGGGCACAGAGGATGGGGCACATGCATGGGGATCACTCGCATTGCATTTTGGGGGTTCAGGCACATGTGCGTGCATTCGCACACACATGTGAACGCTAACCATCACTGGCCTAGGCCATCTTTATGTAGAGCAACAATTTGTTTTTTCAGATCCTCAGAGAGTTCATTGCCATGAGGTGCCATGTTGAACTTCCAGTGACCAGTATGAGAGAGTGAGAGTGATAACACTAAATTTAACACATCTGCTTCCCCTTCACACCTGAGACCTTGTAACACTAATGCGTCACATGACACCATGGAGGGAAAATGGCTTCTTGGGCCCCATTTGGACATTATCATTTAGGGGTGTACTCACTTTTGTTGCCAGCAGTTTATACAGTAATGGCTGTGTGTTGCGTTATTTTGAGGGGACAGCACATTTACATTGTTATTCAAACTATATACTCACTACTTTACATTGTAGCCAAGTGTCATTTCTTCAGTGTTGTCACATGAAAGATATACTTAAATATTTACAAAATGTGAGCGGGTGTACTCACTTCTGTGACATACTGTAATATATAATTCTCTGCATCATGCAGCAAGGCTATTCCTTGCCTGCCTAGAAAATACTGGAATCAGATAGGCACTTGAGAAGCAACTTAAGTGACGTGCTTGGGTGCAGCAAATTCTCCCATACTTTTTTTAATCCCTCAAGACTAAGGAGTATCTGCTGGAAGAATTTTTTTTTCATAATCTGTTAATCTAGCATCTTCTTTTTCAAGTGTTCTTGGTATAGAACTGTACTAAAGAACATATCATTGTTCTCACATGGAATCTGAATCAGCAGCTACAAAGACTTTGAGAAAGTGGCAACACAGACCAACAATCTTAACAAGGCTTATCTCATCAAGATTTCCCCTCCTTCTCTTTGGGATGTCAAATTCCAATGATTTCTTGACATAAAGGTCTGCAAGACATCTATTCTATTTTTCCCCTCCTTCAAGTTTAGATCTTCTGGTAGATCAAGGGCAATCTTTGTAAGAAAGGCATTTTTGATTTTTGGGATAATTGATGCAGCTGGACAGATAAGGTGATCAAAAGTTCAAGAAAGAAACT